GTGTGGTGGTGCTGTCCGTGGTTCATGGTTCCGGGTCCTGTTCATGGTTCTGTTCGTGGTTCCTCGGAGTAAATGTTCCCGATTACTGTAGCTGGGGAAGCCCCTCCCAGTCCCAGAGTCACAGGATCTGTGTTTCTCTGTGTGGCGTCCAAGTCCTTGACGGCAAATTGTGATGCCCTTCTATTTAGAATTAGTTTATTTTTCTAGGTTTACCAGAGAAGGGTCTCACTTAAAAACAGCTACACATCGGGACACCTGGCTGGCTCAGTCAGTGGAGTATGTGGCTCATGATCTCAGGGTTGTGGGTTTGAGCCCCACATTAGGCGTAGAGATCACTTAAGAATAAAATCTTTGGGGGCGCCTGGGTGGCTCAGTCGGTTAAGGGTCCGACTTCGGCTCAGGTCATGATGTCGTGGTTCATGGGTTCAAGCCCCGCGTCGGGCTCTGTGCTGACAGCTCAGAGCCTGGAGCCCGTTTCGGATTCTGTGTCTCTCTCTGTCTCTGCCCCTCCCCCTCTCATGCTCTGTCTCTCTCTCTCTCTTTGTCTCTCAAAAATAAATAATAACATTAAAAAAAATTCGGCAATAAAAAGAATAAAAGGTTTTCAAAAATTACATGTCAAATTATAAAGTGATATCACATTCCGAGTATTCTGACATTTTAATTTTCAGAAGCTTTGGAAGGAATTCACGGATTGTTCTAAGACTAGAAGTGTTTGAGTTTCGATTTTGAGGTTTTTGGTAAAATTTTAGCCTTATAAGGAGTTAGGTTTTTCTTTTCTTTTTTTTTTTAATTTTTTTTTAATGTTTATTTATTTTTGAGACAGAGACAGAGCATGAACAGGGGAGGGGCAGAGAAAGAGGGAGACACAGAATCAGAAGCAGGTTCCAGGCTCTGAGCCATCAGCCCAGAGCCCGGCGCGGGGCTCGAACTCACAGACCGCGAGATCGTGACCTGAGCTGACACCCAGGCGCCCCAAGGAGTCGGGTTTTTCTAACCCGCCTCATGCTAACAGGGGACTAGAAGTGAACACAGGCACGTTGCTATGTCCCGCTAGTTACTGGCATCGCTTAGTAAAGGGAAGCTGGGCATTGCATGGAGCCCACCTACGCGCTGGTTTCTGCCAGCCTTGGTTACCAGCACCTCCATGTCTGACGCGACTGTTGGTAGCACTTACCGGGAGCACAGCCGCTGTAATGATGGCTGTCGTTTGTCGTGAGCTTGCCACGGGCTAGACACTCTCACGACCTTTACGAGATCTTTACGAGATCCCTCTGAGACAGTGACGTATTTTCCACCCCTGTTGTACCTACGAGGAAACTGAGGCACAGGGCAGTGAAGTAGCTTGCCCGAGGTCTTCCCCCGAGGGAGTGCTGGCGTGAAGGTTTGAGGCCAGGCCCTCTGGTCCCAGAACCCTCGTTCTTTACCACGTCTGTGGGATGCTGGTCCTTCCTGAGTCACAGCGATGCCATCTCCGTGCCTGGAGTTACTCTCCCAGCAGTGGGGGAGTCGGAAGCCTCCCCCTTCCCTGCCCTGCCACCCGCCGTGGACCGGCGGTGTGCACCAGCGAGCGTGTGGCCGTGGAGGAAGACGGCTGGGCCAGATACGACTCGGACACAGTCTTGGCCTGATCCTTCCCTCAGAGGAGTCGACTCGTCCGATAGCAGACTCTCCAGAGAAGGTCCCTGTGTGTTAGCAACACTGCCACCGCCACCAAAACCGACAACACTTTTGCGTTCTGACTTTTGTTCGGGTGTAATACACATGTGCAGAAGTGCACGCAGATCACAATCACGGATCGGTCCGGCGGGCCGGAGCATTTGACGTTTAACAGATTATTTCTGCCTTCGCTCTGCTTTGCTGACACTAAAATAGAATTCTGGAAAGATTACTCAGATTAGCGGTAGTGATTTTCTAAAGCCTTGAGGGGGGTTTTTTAGTAACGGCCGATTTTAAAAAAAATTGTTTTTGAATGTTTGTTTTTTTGAGCGACAAGTAGCGGCTGATTTTAAATAGCGCGATAGGGACTCCTGGGTGGCTCAGTCGGTTAAGCGTCCGACTTCAGCTCAGGTCACAATCTCGCGGTCTGTGTGTTTGAGCCCCGTGTCGGGCTCTGGGCTGATGGCCCAGAGCCTGGAGCCTGCTTCCGATTCTGTGACTCCCTCTCTCTCTGCCCCTCTCCCGTTCATGCTCTGTCTCTCTCTGTCTCAAAAATAAATAAATGTTAAAAAAATAAATAAATAAATAAATAAATAAATAGTGCAATAATGCAGCTCGCTCTGGACGAGAAGTGAGTTTTAGAGTTTCATTCCCCTTTAGTCACTTGGTTTTCTTCCCTTAGCAGCTTTTACCGTTGCTTAGAAACATCTTATTCTCTTCACAGATTCCAAAGGACGAGCACATTCTTCGGTTCCTACGTGCCCGGGACTTCAACATTGACAAAGCCAGGGAGATCATGTGTCAGTCTTTGACTTGGCGGAAGCAGCACCAGGTGGACTACATCCTCGATACCTGGAGCCCCCCCCAGGTCCTCCAGGACTACTACGCCGGAGGCTGGCACCATCACGACAAAGGTGCGCTGGGCATCCCGGGCGCGCTTAGAGGCCGC